TGTCCTTGAAGGGTGAGTTGTTTGATTGGATCATTTGATAGATCTAGTTTGTAGCAGATGATGGGTGTTTGATATTCTGGGATGGGGGAGAAGGGAAAGAGATTGCTACATCGGAGGAATAGAGAAACATGGGGAAGATGCAGAATAGGGAGGGAGGCAGAATAAGGGGAGAAAAGAGCAGAGACACATTAGAGGAAGAGAGAGGTCAGGAGACTGGTAGAACTGCTCCTGAACTTGTCACAGCAGGCCTGTTAAAGAAGCCTGCTATCCAGCCTACCCCATAAAGACAAAGCCACCTGAAAATTAAAACTCACTTGCTTTCCATGAGGCAGCAAGTATGCACATCTGACTTCAGGCGTGTCCTTGGCCCAATGTAGGCAGGTAAGTGGAAAACACTCTATTTGAATATAGAAGTATTGAGGGATTGGGATGAGAGGGACAATCAAAATGACAAGCTGCTCCAAACTGGATATTACATTGTTCTGTATCTCTAGGGTGACCAGATGTCCTGATTTTGGGGTCTTTTTCTTATATAGGCTCATATTACCCCCCACCCCCGTCCCGATTTTTCACATTTGCTGTCCGGTCACCCTATCTACCTCTAACAAGAATCAGCATCTTGAGTTAAATCAGTGGCTCTCAACATTCGGCCCATGGACCGCTTGCGGGCCATCAGCACACAGCTGCAGCCCATGTGACATCCTCAGAGGCATGCAGCTAGTATTGGATGTGGCCCACATAACACATTGTGGGCTGCATATGTGTCCGACAATGGTAAATAGGTTGAGAACCACTGGGTTAAATATTTACAATTTCTCATAAGATGATGGTGGGAGGTGTCCCTTTAAAAAAAAAAGCAAAGAAATTAAAACCAAAAAGAAAATACATCCAAAAGACTGAAACACAAAGCAGCAAGTGAGTGAGAGGAGATTCAGATTTGGTCTGATACTTCTTTCACATTCATGGGCATTCTTTTTAAGTTATATGTTCTTCAGCAGGTAGAGACTGGGGCAGGGACTGTGTCTTACACATTTGGAAAGTGCCCAGTACAACCAGGTCCTGCTCCCAGCGGCCCCAATTCAGTGATATTAAGAATGGCAGCTTCAGTTTTGTATTTCCTGCACACTTTCAACAAATAAATGTACTTACATTTAAAAACACAACTTAAAATGATCTTTATAAGGCCAAATCCTGAAAATCTTTGTCCTTACTAAGGGAAAATTCCCATTGACTCCAGGGAGTAAGATCCGTGGCATTTGTCACACACTTTGTTTACCTTCCATTTACCATCTGATCTGAAAATTAAAAGGTGGTCACCTGCCAATTCTGTCCTTCTCCATTAATAAAGATCCCTTTGTTTTAAACAAAGCTAATGTTAATGTGTCCAGTTTTGCTTATCAACCACAACAAAATCAGGTTTTTGAGTACTTGAGAACCACAGAGTCAGAGTTTAAGGCCAGAAGGGACCACGAGACAATCTAGTCTGACCTCCTGTCTATCACAGGCCACCAACGCCATGCAACACCCATACAATAAATCCAACAACCAAAATTAGACCAAAGTATTACAGTCTACAGGAGTCTAGGCTATCATATGCTGTTGGCAGAGAATAGGTGGGACCAGGACGCACCAGTGCCTGAGGCCCCTGCAATGGGAGGGAAATTATTAAGTGAGATATACCCAGATAATTCTTGCAAGTGATCTGCACCCACACGCCACAGAGGAAGGCAACAACAACAACAAAAAATCCCAGGAACTGCCTTCACATATGGTGACCAGTGAGACCCTGAGCATGTAAGCAAGAACCAGCCAGCCAAGCACCTGTGAGAGAGAATGCTCTGTGCCACCTCGAAGCTCTACTCCCCATTTCCCCCGTCCAATGTCCTATCTCCAGCCACGGCCATCTCTGATGCTTCAGAGGAAGGAGCCCAACCCTCCAGCTCAAAATACATGGAGAGGAGGGAAGGGGAATCCCTTCCTGACCCCTGAAGCATGAGCTTTTAGGCACGTAGGACATAAATTGGCAGTGAGCACAGGCCTGTTGAACTCTGCCCCTTCCTACCACAAACAACCCCATCATAGTATTGCCATCCAGCTCTCTCTTAAAACTTATTCAGTTATTTGCCCCCACAAGCTCTAGTGGGAGACTGTTCCAGTACCTCACTGGTGTGATGGTTAGTAACCGTCTTCTAATTTTCCGCCTGAGTTTGGTCATGGCCAATTTATATCCATTTGTTCTTGTGCCAACGTTATCCTTTGGCTTAAATAGCTCTTCACCCTCCCTGATGTATTTATCCAGAGCAATCATAACCCTTCTTTTTGATAGGCTAAACAAACCAAGCTCTTCCAGTCTCCTCTCCATAAGATAGACCCTTCACTTTCCCCACTCATCCTAATAGCTTTTCCCTGCATCTTTTCCTGTTCGACTTCATCTTTCTTGAACATGAGTGACCAGAATTGTACACAGTATTCCAAATGAGATTGTACCAATGCCTTGTACGCTGGCATTAATACTTCTCTAGCTCTACTGGAAAGTCCTTGCCTGATGCACCCTAGGATCACATTTGCCTTTTTCACAGTTGCACCACATTGGTGGCTCATGGCCATCCTGTGATCAACCCAGACACCCAGGTCTTTCTCCTCTTCTATGGCTTCCAACTGATAAACCCCCAGATTATAGCAGAAACACTTATTAGACTCTAAGCACATGACCTAGCACTTTGTACTATTTAATTTTATCCTATTTCTGTCACTCCAGTCTTTGAGTTCATCCAGATCTTTCTGTATAAAATTCCATTCCTCCTCTGTATTGATAATGCCTCCCATCTTTGCATCATTGGCAAATTTCATTATCTCACCTAAAACATTTACATTTGTGTTCCAGCTTCATCCAGGGTATTAGCTCTAGAAATAGGGGTAAGTTTGCCAAACCTTATACCCCAACCACCCCCAGTGAAATTAATGGGAAAATAGCATCATTAAATAGAATGAGGGGAAAGATTTGTCATCAGGACACCTTGCGAAGTCATTACATTCTGATGAATAATATGCGTAAGCTTATTGGAACATCTGGGTTTGGGGTCGGTGATCTTGTAAGATTAGGTTCTCCCATGATATTTCCAATACTTCCAGGTACTGGATCTCTACTTGTGATACATTTGTGAAAGTGATTTTGACCCCAGCTGAAGGCAGTCTCACAAAATGCAAAGATCTGAAGCCTTCACACACTTTTGGGGAAGCATAACCCAAGAGAAAGACTAGTCTTGCTGTTCTTAAAAACCCTTAGCATTAGCCAAGTTTTTACCTTGGAGAAGTAACTAACTTTCCCCCATATTACAGAGACCCATATTACAGAAACAAAACACCCATGTTACAGCTAAATTAACTAGGAGCTTGGGGAAAGCCACTTCAGGAGAAGCTGCAAGTAGAATCCAGGGTTCTTTACCGCAGAACCAATGCTTATCTACTTTGCCACTCACACTTTCAAAAAAGCATGTCAAATTAAGGGCTTCTGTAACCCATACAAACAGTGTGTCACCTTTTAGCAGGAAGACCACGTGTATAGGTTGATGATTCTACTACCACTTTTACACCAAGAAGTCAAGTAATTTAGAGAATTATGCTTTTACATCAGCGAGACCAGGTTCATTTCCCTCCCCCCAGATTACCCGATGATATGGGCACTGTTACATTTGGTTGTTCTGACTTTAACCACTAGACCACAATCTATTGCCAGAGCCAGAAATAGCAATAAGAATCCTGGTGCCCAGTGCTCCCCTGCTGTCTCACACACACTTATGTAACTTCCTGGCAATGTCTGTGTTGTGTCCCCATCTATAGGCTGCACCACGTAATGGATATTCCCTTACATACTGTCATTTACTGCTACAGCTGGAGTGGGTGGAAGAGGTATATGCAGTAAATCAGAAGGTTGCTGGTTCCATCACCGCTGATGACCCAGGTAAGGATATATAGTGTACGTATATGTATTAAAAGTTATAATAAGTATCCTGGAGTAATTGTTAGCATGGTTTTATATTGCAAAATGGTGTATTAGGAAGTGAATTTGGATGAGCTGGATGTTGTATTAGTATCTCTTTTACCTTTGCATTTTTATTATTTGCTTTTGGTAAATGGGGCTGTCTCTTTACAAACAGTGTTCATTTGAGACCAACCACAATAGGTGGGAGATTTTGTCCATGTGCCTAGACAGTGAAAGATCCTGTTGGTGTCAGGACTAGGGTGACCAGACAGCAAATGTGAAAAATCAGGACAAGGGTGGGGGGTAATATGAGCCTATATAAGAAAAAGACCCCAAAAATCGGGACAGTCCCTATAAAATTGGAACATCTGGTCACTCTAGTCAGGGCCAAAAAGGTCAGAGCTTGATTTAATAAACGTATATTTCCAGAATGCAAGTCTTATGCTCAAAAGGGGAACATTAGCTGGGGTGGGGGACTGGATGCCTCAGAGCATTGCTAATGATCTATAGAATCTTTCACCTATAGGTCACCAGTCTGAGTCCTGTGCAACTTAGCTATGGGATATTTGGGAGCCCCTCTCCAAGATGAAATTGGTCATTTCCAGCTACCATGTCACAAACTGACCCCCCCACATTAGGGACTCTCTTTTACCATGTGTTTGTACGGTCCTAGCATACAGAGGCCCTTATCCTGTTTGGGTCCTTTTTCCAAGAGCTCTTGCAACAAGGGCCAAATTAATTTACTCAAAATTTGCAAGAGTTGGCAATACTCTCTCTGTCTCTCTTTTCACAAACACACAACACAAAGGGCAGAAGACAGACCAAAAACCATATATAAAAAGATCAGGGTTTGGAGGTCAAGCTCATGCTTTTTGTGGCTCTGAATCATGATTTTTAAACTTTTGAGGTTGGCGAGACTGAGATTTGCACAGGATATAAATCAGAACAGAATCTGGGACAGGTTTTGCTAGCTATAGTTACAGCTTTGTAATCACTGTTTCTTACTCCTTTTACTCACACAAGTAAGGGTTGGCAGGCTCTGGTCTCAAGTTAGTTCGGTTCCTTCTGCAAAACCTGCAGGGAGAATACAAAATAATGTTTTCTGGTTGCTACAAATAGACTTTTTAAAAAGTTCAGTAATTTGAATGCTGAATTAGGAAAAAAAAATCACAATGAAACTAGACAATTAGAATCCCAAGGACTTTTTCAACCTATTAAAGTATATTTAATTAGTTTAAAGTTGGTGCATGTATGGTTTGACAGAACCCTTTTATTTTAGTAGGGCAGTTTCATGGGGGAGGGGAAGAAAAGAAAATATGAATGTCCTTAGCAATCATGGGCCTGTGGGTTTGGATAAAATGACATGAACTTTCTCTGAAGTCCAAGAAAGTTTGATTCATTTTTGTTTCCTAATTTTTCACTGCACCTCTGCACTTCCAGCCTTTGGCTGCAAATGACAACAGAAATATCAAAATACCACAAATAAGCCTGTTCTCACAGTATTTCTGGCCCAACCAAAACCAAGACATTCCTCCTTCCCTGACCACTGACTGACTGAAATTCATTCTTTCAGGACCATCATTTAAGAGAAGTGCTAGTTAAAACCACCTAAGAAATGTTTACTTCCTCTTCCCATCCTACTCCACCTAGATTTGTCATTTCTACGGTTGTATGAATGCTGAGAATAGAGACTTCATCAAGATTCCCGACAGGTGTAAAAACCAAATACTTTTATTCCAGCACTGCTGTTTTCCTCTTCTTTCCATACAGCTATGTACAGTATGTGTTCTCTAATGCTGGGAAGTGCTGTAGACGCAGATCAAAGCTGCTAATAGAATCATGGACTAAACTAGGCTTAATAGGCTAACTACTTCAAATGTGATTAAGGTTACAAGAAACCAATCCTTCTCCTTAACCAGGCCTGGCAGTTCCAGGTTAAAAACTGATTTTACAAGGCTATATACTCTTCTTCCATATTAGTCAAATTTCTATATTTTTCTGTTTCCACAAGCTGCAATTTGTACATTTCCTGACAGAGCCTTGCCAAGCCATCAAACAGACAAGTTGGCAACTTTAGGACTGAGCAGCAGTTTCAGGAAAAAAGAAGGATCTGGCCAACTATTCAGCCTCCTTCCCCCTTTCCCTCTTCTAACAAGGTCACTGCTGTAGTTTTGTGGGATCGGATATTTATGTGGTCACCTCATGCTATTGCTAGTTTATGATGCCCCCAGTTGAACCTTTGTAGCCATGTTGGAAGTTGAGTCACACCAACATATAGAAGAGCTGTTTAACGGAATATTCAGTGCTTTCCCTCACAGCAAATACTGCATGGTCCATGTAATTATTGCATTCTTCAGAAGCATCTCTACCTGTATTTCACATATATTTTCGCTGAACAAATAAAAATCAGCCCATTTTCATGGTAACTAAAAATTGGGTGAGTGTGCCCATTTTAAAATATGACCAACATTGGCTAAGTTTAGGAGATTTTAGGTAAATGTAGTATTTTACATTGGTTTTCATACATATGAAATACATCATAGTATTTATCTATTTGTTTATATGCCAGCAATGAGCTTAGAACAGTACAAGACTCAAATTTAAAGCCTGTCTGGGTCCTGACAAGATCACAATCTCAAAGGTAGACATAGGGAAAACAATGTTTGTTAAACATCTACTGTACTTGAAACATGCTTTTTTGCCTGCCTGGGTTAGGTGGATGAAGCTAGATAACCGATCGCAAATAAGGCCCCACTCTGCGTCCATTGAAACTACTAATGGAATTCCCATCATTTGGGAGAGGGGGAAGGGTAATATACATTACATGGTTTTAAGGGGTGATGCAGTTCCCACTTGGGCATATGTTCCCACATGTCCTCTGGACTCCGCCGTAATGCCCTTGGGCACTCCTGTTGTTGTAATGCCGCTTCATCCTCCAAATTGAGATACAGATTAAAAGCCAAAATATAGTCCTAAATCTTCAACCAGTCTCTCTGATATAGTTATACGTGCTCACACTTTATATTTATATATAGTCTTGATCTTTCTTGCACCCACTGAAGTTAATAGGAGTTTTGTCATTGACTGCTATGGTGCAGGATCAGCCTCTACACGTATTCATGTGCACACGTAGACAATATCATTTTAAGCTTCCTGTTGGGATTCTGGCAATACACCATTTTTCTCTTCTTGCTACAAATGATACTTTCCAGGGTAAAATAGCACAGCAGCTATGTAAGGAAATGGATTCATGTACATAGGTGCAATGTCTTCTCCAACCCCTAAAGCCTGATTTCCTTAAGACAACTCCATGCAGACCTTATTCAGAAAATGGTTTTGTATTCTTTGGATTATAGAAGCCAAAAAAATAGCCTATAAGACATAAGGTATATCTGATCAGATGCAGTTTTACAAGGTGTCCCTGTCGTGTTAATACCTAAGGAACCCAAGAAGTATGAGTTCATCACAAAGTAATCTAATATTCCAAGGATGATCAATGTTCATTTATGAATGCATGTATTATGCATATATCTTAGCCATCAGCTGATGGGCTATGCTCTTGTAAAGGAATCTACAGAAACTTAAACAAGCAGCTGCCCTCCCATCAGCCTTGAAAAGCAGAGGCAGCAGAGAGAGACATTTTACTAATGGAGCTATGTTTCTATTTTCTCTCCTTACCAAATAATTTTCCTTCTGCCCTTCATTTTTTTCAGCTACTTTGTAATTTTTGAATATAAACAGTGGAATAAGCTTTATGCTTCTGAAGACTATCTGAGAAAGCTGGATCAGAACATCTCTCTCCTATACCCATGCCTTTAGAATACATTTCTTATATTTTTGGCACACTGAACCTTTGTTCTACTAAATGAGCAAAAATATTATTTCTTCTTTAACCCTAAGCTCACCTGTTAAGTTGAGAAGCTGAAACAATTTTTTATTTATGCATTGCACATAACAGTAACAGTATCTTTCAAGCAAAACATACACTACCTCTTCCATATTGCATTGGCTCATGAAAAAACCCTCCATTTTCCATGGACAGCAATCCCTTACCTTTCTAAAGCATTAAAGACATCAGTTCTTTAAAATATTGCCTACCGTTTAAATCACTGAACTACAGATACGCCAGAAATGTATCAAGATTTACTACTCTCTGAATGTATATTCTTTCAAGACTCCTTTAATCACCTTCTCCCTACTCCTTTTTTTGTCCCCTCTTCCCCTTTTCAGTTATCTGCTGAATAAGGTTCCTGATTTCTGTCCCTGCAGAGGGCAACAAAGAGCTTTGGTGCTGGTTGTGTGATTTGATTTGCACCCTAATGAAATACTGTAACCAATTATAGCATTCTCTTGCTATCAGACCTTTGTGAGCCCTTGACAACCAACCTGAATCATGTTAGCTACTCCAGGCAGACCGATCACTTCTCTAAATGCACACTAGTGCTTTGCTGCTGGTATATTTCACAGGCCTGATGGGCTGGCTAGCCAGTCTTCACATGAAAGGGTTGATTGTTCTGACTTATTGGTCATGTGTCTCTCAAGGAAACATACTAACCTTTTAGAAAAAAGGAATGCAGGAAAGTTAGATTTATAATCATTCAAACTAGCATATAATGTTTTAGTCCAGCCCCCAATGCAGTTAATGAAGTATTTAGCTTTTGAAATCGTAATTCAGTAAATCAGTTGTCCTTTGTAAAGAGGAAAAATGTTGACTTAGGATAAGTGCAGGATAATACTTAAAATTGTGTTACAATTAGCCTGAAAAATGTATATGAACAATGGTTCGAGCTATACTGTGGTGTGCGTGTGTATATCTATCTATAGCATGTGTATGTGTGAATAGTATTCATCTCACCTGCTTAAAGGTTTCCAGCTTGCTGTACCTATTATCATTTGTAGCAGTTTCATGACTGGAGGCTGATATTTTCCTATTCTATAGTTCTTGGTTATTGTGAACTCATGACAGCACAACTAAAGATTCAGACAGCAGGAGGAGCTGCATGAGTCCACATCTCAGTTAACTGAATCAGGCATATCAGTAAAAGATTATACTGGCAACTTCTACAGACAGAGAGAAAAATATCCAACTGCATGGTGAAAGGTGAAAAAAAAAAAAAAAAGCATGAACAAGCTCTCATAAAAAATATAACATGTTGTTAGTTTTACTCTACTACAAGGGCTTTGCTATAAAGTATCTAAAAACACTAAATTACTGCTGATCTTATCAAATATCTACACTTTTGTTTTTCTTATAAACTTCATGCAAGAGGCAGAAAGAAGTCAATTATTCATTCTGGACATGTGAACAGTGAAGCCTAATTGTTTCAGTTCATCCTTGTCCTGCCCCTTTATCTGCTCTCCTCTATGGAGAATGCAAATGAACAACAGAATAAACAGACAGTGAGATCTGACCCTGGTGGAATGCAATGGCCCATTGTGTGAGAAGCCTATAGCCCAAACAATTTTGACAAAATAAGTCTTCATCACCTTTTCCAGGGAACCCTAACTACATACATTCTGGGACATCTGACTGAAGGTAGCACTTGAAGCAAGAATCTGTCTTGTGTGCTTGCTCACCTGCTTTGCACACATCCCGTAGGCCAGGGTTTCTCAGCCTGGGGGTCGCAATCCAAACTTAGGTTGCCACAAGGTTTCAAAGGGTCATGTGGCGGCTCTTGTAGCTATGGTCCCACAGAGCTGACTGGGCCCGGCTCCCTGCTTCAGGCATTGCGACCTCTCAGGTTGCAGCACCACTCAGGTTTGGAACGGATGCCCCTTTGTCATGATGGCAGGGGGTGGCCACGTCAAATGTCAAAGTGTGGCAGTATGACCCCATGCACCAGGCTGCAAGGCCATGCTCACAGTTTTGGCACTGTTGGCCACCTCTCGGGGAGGTGGAGCCAAACCTGAGCAGCACTGTGACCCTGGAGGTCAGAATGCCCCCCCACAACCAACCCAAGCTCAGTCTCCATTAAGACCCCACATCTCCATCCAGTTTCGTTTGTTTCTGGCATCAAATTTGTTGGATACAATGGTGGTCTCCTATGTAAAAACTGAGAAGGTTCATTATGGCT